TTGCAACTAGTCACTAAAACAAGCAACTTCCATAAGAATCAACTGATTGATGAACGGATATAAACTGATTCTTGGTTACTGGTAACATAAACAAAACAATACCGAGAGCAACCACGGTATAGACGATTTTAGTGATACGTCACGGAGTACAACTGATAGTGACAAATGTTCCAAACCAAACCTTATCAAAGTTCAGTGGATGGTCGTAGAATTTTTAGGTTATAAGAAATACACGGGCATGAAATTATTTGTATATGTATTAAATTTAAAGTGAACGGCAAGCATCAAGCAATAAAAACACAAATCAATAGAATATGTTTGCACCATCAATACAATTTTGAGAATATTAAGGATATGAAGATTAACTTTGAAGAATAATTAATAATAAATCTTGAAGAATGAGAATCATTTTTAATAAATATTATATTATACTAAAAACATACACTCTGATAACATATGAATTTGCATGTAAGTATAGGAAAAATATGGATACCTATTAACTCACGTATTATGATTACTCTATTACATTAGAATATTATTAACCTACGGTGGATAGGTAATAAACATTTAGGTGCGTACCAATATGATTATTCTTGTTTTAGCAGATAGTCAATTGTAGTAAGTAATATATAGGAATAGATGAATTCCAGGAGATTAAAGTAAAGAAATTATTTACGATATGAGTATTCTCGTTCGAAAATACTTGTGTGATTACGTTAGAAGGTTAATACAGCTGGAACATAACAATAAATATAGGCGTTTACTTACGTTATTCGTAGTGACGATAGAACTTCGTAAAACGACAACGGCGGAATGGGTACGACACAAAGAATATAATCAACTACACTGACGACTAGGGTAAGTGTCGACGGATCGATGAACGGATGGAAGTATACGCACGTATGGATAGCAATATTTGATACCAGAGGCCCCAGGGCTTCTCAAATTTGTATACAACTGTTCCAAACCAAACCTTATCACGGTTCGGTCCATATTCTTAAATTATTTGGACCATAAGAAATACTCGGACACGAATTTATTATATTTTAAATCTAAAGTGAACGGCAAGCATCAAGCAATAAAAACACAAATCACTAGTATATGTTCGCATCTTCAATATAATTTTGAGACTATTAAGGATATTAAGTTTAACTTTGAAGAATAATTAATAATAAATCTTGAAGAATGAGAATCATTTTAATAAATATTATATTATACTAAAAACATACACTCTGATAACATATGAATTTGCATGTAAGTATAGGAAAAATATGGATACCTATTAACTCACGTATTATGATTACTCTATTACATTAGAATATTTTTAAACTACGGTGGATAGGTTATGAACATTTAGGTGCGTACCAATAAGATTATTCTTGTTTTAGCAGATTATCAATTGTAGTAAGTAATATGAAGGAATAGATGAATTCCAGGAGATTAAAGTAAAGAAATTATTTACGATATGAGTATTCTCGTTCGAAAATACTTGTGTGATTACGTTAGAAGGTTAATACAGCTGGAACATAACAATAAATATAGGCGTTTACTTACGTTATTCGTAGTGACGATAGAACTTCGTAAAACGACAACGGCGGAATGGGTACGACACAAAGAATATAATCAACTACACTGACGACTAGGGTAAGTGTCGACGGATCGATGAACGGATGGAANGCAAGCATCAAGCAATAAAAACACAAATCACTAGTATATGTTCGCATCTTCAATATAATTTTGAGACTATTAAGGATATTTAGTTTAACTTTGAAGAATAATTAATAATAAATCTTGAAGAATGAGAATCATTTTTAATAAATATTATATTATACTAAAAACATACACTCTGATAACATATGAATTTGCATGTAAGTATAGGAAAAATATGGATACCTATTAACTCACGTATTATGATTACTCTATTACATTAGAATATTGTTAACCTACGGTGGATAGATAATGAACATTTAGGTGCGTACCAATATGATTATTCTTGTTTTAGCAGATAGTCAATTGTAGTAAGTGATATATAGGAATAGATGAATTCCAGGAGATTAAAGTAAAGAAATTATTTACGATATGAGTATTCTCGTTCGAAAATACTTGTGTGATTACGTTAGAAGGTTAATACAGCTGGAACATAACAATAAATATAGGCGTTTACTTACGTTATTCGTAGTGACGATAGAACTTCGTAAAACGACAACGGCGGAATGGGTACGACACAAAGAATATAATCAACTACACTGACGACTAGGGTAAGTGTCGACGGATCGATGAACGGATGGAAGTATACGCACGTATGGATAGCAATATTTGATACCAGAGGCCCCAGGGCTTCTCAAATTTGTATACAACTGTTCCAAACCAAACCTTATCACGGTTCGGTCCATGTTCTTAAATTATTTGGACCATAAGAAATACTCGGACACGAAATTATTATATTTTAAATCTAAAGTGAACGGCAAGCATCAAGCAATAAAAACACAAATCAATAGAATATGTTTGCACCATCAATATAATTTTGAGATTTTTAAAGATATTAAGTTTAACTCTGAAGAATAGTTAATATTAATTCTTAATGATAAGAAACATGTTTAATAAATATTATATTATACTAAAAACATACACTCTGATATCATATGAATTTGCATGTAGGTAGAGGAAAAATATAGATATCTACTTACTCATGTATTATGAATACTCTATTAGATTAAAATGAATTATTAATATAATGTAGGTAGGTAATGAACATTTGGATGCGTTACTTATAAAATCATAAAATCGTTCTTGTTTTAGCAGTTTATCAATTTTCCTAAGTAATATGAAGGAATAGATGAAATCCAGGTGATAAAATTAAAGAAATTAATTTCGATATGATTTTTCTCGTTCGAAAATACCAATGTGCTTACGTTAGAAAGTTAAATCGGCTGAAACTGAACAATAAATATAAGCGTTTACTTACGTTATTTGTAGTGACGATAGAACTTCGAAAAACGAAAACGGCGAAATGGGTACGACCCAAAGAATATAATCAACTACACTGACCACTAGGGTAAGTGTCGACGGATCGATGAACGGATGGAAGTTTACGCACGTATGGGTAGGATTTTACTTACGTTAATAGCGTTGACGATTGAATTGTGATATACAAACGCTGCGTAATACAACATAAAAACAATAACGGCTAGCAGTTGCAACTAGTCACTAACACTAACAACTTCCATAAGAATCAAGCGATCGATTAACGGACGTAAATTGAATTCTTGGTTACTGGTAACATAAACAAAACAATACCGAGAGCAACCACGATATAGACGATTTTAGTGATTACGTCACGGAGTACAACTGATAGTGACAACTGTTCCAAACCAAACCAAACCATATCTAAGTTCAGTGCATGGTCATAGAATTTTTAGGTTATAAGAAATACACGGGTATGAATTTATTATGTATTAAATTTAAAGTGAACGGCAAGCATCAAGCAATAAAAACACAAATCAATAGAATATGTTTGCACCA